CTTAATGTTGGTTTAAAATGGAGCACTGTAACAAAAAATAATTTCCCCCAGGGATCAATAAAGTATTCTGATTCTGATTCTGATAAACAAAGTGTTTGTGAGATGTGGAAAAAGCAGCAGGAAGGTAACAAGTGAGATGCAGTGTGAATTTTTCACCCACTATTATGACATATAAAAATATGATAAAAAATATATATTAATATACTAAAATGCATAAAACCATTATTCTTTTTTTATTTTTGTGAAGTGTGCTCCTGTATTTCCAAATAAAAGGCTTTGCTTTAAAAACTGCTTATAAAAGTATAATATATTCAGATTAAACTGAAACACATCATTTGATTCTTCTTCAACAGTTTACAAAACTTCACCCTAATCCAAGAGTGATGTGAACAACAGTTCGATCCCTTTCCTTATTTGGGTTTTAGAGTCAGAGTCATAACAACGTTAGTCATACTTGTTGGCTTCTTTCTGAACACTTCCTTCAATCAACTTTAACCAAAAAAGGAAACAACTGCTCAATAAACAATTTATAAGTCAGAGATGCCAATACAAACGATTCTTTTCCTCTTTTAATCTCCAGTCGCTTCTAAAGCCTCCTCATGGGAGATGCTGTATCTGTTTTCTGAGATATAACTTGACAGTGGTGACACTGTTAATCGGTTAACTGGTTCATCCTTACAAGTTGTCGAGTTGTTAAAGTTTCTGTTGAATGTGTGCGTGTTTCAGTTACTATCGATAAACCAGTTCATCTTTTTATTTATAACATGGATGTATCTCCAATCACAGGGGACTCGTTTTATAGTAACATCTTCTTTAGAGGCTCTTGTCTCCGTTTTAGTCTTTTAGAAACTTTTGTTTGCTCTGTTATGTTTTAATATTTATGTTTTAATATTTATGTTAATAGTAATTAAGGACAAAGCTTTTTAGTTTACACAATGGGGCTCTTGGGCTCCAAGTGCACAGAGAAATATTCCACTGCTTTGTGTTCAGATTACGTCAGTGAAGCTGCTGACTATAGCAAAGAAAACGTGATCGTTTATTAGACACAAAGTAACCTTTAGCCAGCACTAGATTGTATCAGGCCCTCCTTTTGGGAATCTGTACACTATATTACTGTTACTGTCAGCTCCAGGAGTACGACGAGTAAGTAAGTAAGTAAGTAAGTAAAATTTATTTATATAGCACATTTCACAGATAAAAATCACAAAGTGCTTCACAATAAGATCAGACATACAAGTTAAAATGAATTAAAAGCCCGTTTGTATAAAAATGTCTTCAGCTGCTTTTTAAAGGAGTCAGTAGAGTCTAGACAGCGTAAAGGCAACGGCAGAGAGTCCCACAGCCTCGGTGCCTGAAAAGCCCGATCCCCACGTGTTTTAAACCCAGTACGTGGGACCACCAGTAGCCTCTGACCTGAAGACCTAAGTGCTCGGGATGAAGCATGAGGTTTCAACAGGTCAGAGATATACTGGGGAGCTTCACCGTGCAGAGCTCTAAAAGTTACGACGAAAATTTTAAAATGAACCCTAAAATTTACAGGCAACCAATGAAGAGAAGCCAAAACTGGAGTGATGTGTGACCTCTTGTTGGTACCAGTTAAAAGTCTTGCCGCTGCATTCTGTACAGACTGAAGGCGATCCAGAGCTGATTTGTTGAGACACGTAAAAAGACCGTTACAATAATCCAAACGAGAAGAGATAAAAGCATGAATCATCTCAAGTTCTGCCTTTGACACCAGTAGCCTGAGTTTAGAAATGTTTCTTAGATGATGAAAACTGTTCCAAACAAGTTGTTTAGAGTGTTTCTCAAGAGACATCGAACTGTCAAATATAACACACAAGTTTCTGAGACTCGACTGAAATGAAGGGTCTAAAAAACTGATATGCTGCCTAATTTCTGAGAGCATGTGATCAGGTGCAATAATCAAAGTTTCTGGTTTATCTGCATTTAACTGAAGGAAATTGTCATTTAACCATTGTTTGATTTCTGACAGACAATTATTTAAACAAGACAATTTATACAACGAGGAGTACAAGACACTGATCCAAGATTTTCTTGAACGCTGTCAATCCAACTACTTGCATTTTAACACCAACAAAACCAGAGAGTTAGTGATGGTCTTCAGGGGCTGCACAGAGAAGAGGGACACTTTGAATCTGGACAGAATGGTGAGGAAGGCAGCCTCCTCTGTTTGCATAGCGCTGAAGAGCCTAACAGACCAGCGGGCAGTAAGCGGAGCAGCATCACTAACAGCCTGCAGTTGGTTTCCTGCTCCACGGACAGACCAAGGAGATCATTCCTCCCACAGGGCACGCGACTCGCTAACGCCAGTGGGTGGGTGTAGAGACTTTAACATTACTGTCAGCATTTCTCACTGTTCCACAGTCTAATGCACACTGTTCACCATGCACCTTTATCAAAAGGTTGTCTATAGTGGACTTTTAAATTTGCAACTTTATATTAAAATATAGAAACATTCTATTTATTGGTGTTTATTATTATATGTCTATAATATTTGTGGATATTGCTGGAATGTAGAATCTGTGTAGTGCTCTCAGTGTAAGGTTGGCTGTCACGAAGAACAAAAAGGGAAACAAAAATGGTGTTTTATCTCCCACTGTTCCCAACGCGGGTCATCTCATCGCTCATTTTTACTGTTTTCTCTTATTGTAGGTCTTTAACTTACAATTTAAGCACCGTTAGGCAACTGTTGTTATGATTTTGTGCGACATAATTGAACCTCAGAATCATGGGATGACAGAGAGCAAAAAGGCATCCAAAGAAGAAATATCCTTCAAAGAGTCTGGAGAACTATTCCTGAAGACTACTCAGAGAAATTACTAGAAAGCTTCGCTAGAAGAGTTCAGACCATGATGAAGAATAAAGGCGATTATTTTGGTTTATACACTGTATTTCTATTTATTTTCCATATGCTTCTACTTTCCCTAGCAGAATAAGAAAAATCAGGAGTGGCTTGTGAATATTGCAAAATACTGTACGTGTCACGTCGGCAGTGGCAGACGAGTGGAGGTTGGAAGTAGGACCCAGGAAGCAACTTTTGATGCAAGTGAGCTTTATTTTAAGAGGTAGGAGAAAACAAACAGAAACAGCAAGGCGAGAATAAAACTAACAAAACAAACCTGAAGCCAAAACCAGAGACGCAGGGAGACACGGCGGGAAACCATAAGCTGAAGGAGGGCGATCACACAGGCGAACCAGCAACTAACAGAGGCAAACACAAGGCTTAAATACACAGAGGGATAACGAGGGAATGAGACACAGAAGGAGGACACAGCTGGGAGTGATTGACAAGACGAGACAGGAAGCAAAACTCAATACATTTAGATAGGACACAGACTTTCAAAGTAAAACAGGAAACATAACTTGACTAGGCGGGAACAGCAACCATGGAACACAGAAACAGAAACCAAAACTAGAAAAGATAAACAAAGACAAAATCAAAGTTCAATAACGATACAACAACTCAAAACACCTGGTCACTGACCCAGGACATTACGAGTTTCTGCAGGCATTCTGGAAAAATACAATATGTTGATTGGGTCAAAACAGCCCATCAACAGCTGACAGCTTTCACTCAGGATCAGCACTGCAGACTACACTGACTGTCAGTGGTGCAGGTCACTGACAGGGCCAGGCAGGTTTCTGCTGAGTAACTCAGCACCCACCCTCCTCCCAAAATATAGTAACTTTCGTCAGATTTTAAACTCTATTAACGATAAAAGACATTTTTTATTTGTGAGCATCTTCATCTGTTTTATTGCTCCACATACATTCATCATCAAAGTAACAGCATCACGGTCATACTGACACAAATGTGTGTGGAGTCAAACGTAGGCCGCAGGGAATTCCAGGCATAAGCTCAGGTGACATACGCAGGATACACGTCAATGGTTAAAATATTAAAGTTATCCAATACATCTTCCATTTCCAGCACTTAGCCATAGCCATCTTTGTAAAAACGGCTTTTTTCTTTCCTCTAATAACTGACCAAACCTGTTTAGGAAGCATGTCATGGATAAGTGAAAAGAATAAAAAGAAAGCGTAAATATAATGTGTGCAGTGAGTGGGTACATGGCCTTCTTCATAAGTGTACATTCATTATTCACATATAAGGCAGACAGGAGAGCTGCAGGCTTTGGCAATGTGGAGGCTCTCTGCAGCAGAGACCAACAACAAGCAGCACAGCAGAGATCCTAATGATACCCCACCATTCACAAAGTGTTGCTAATAACATTCATCAGTGTACACGGCCACATGAAGGAAAACACCATATTAGGAATGAGAATTCCCGGGATCACAGGGATATTTGTGGAAGGCTGTTCAGTTGTCCTGACTCCAGGAGGGCTTTAAGTCAGTTTAAGCCTGTGTATACCTCTGCACTAATATATTATCCTTAACCAAGAGCAAGGCAGTCAGTCCAGGTAACTTCCAGGTGATTATGACTCAATTTTTGGTTTTCCTTCTGGAAGATGGCAGAACAAACAAGTCTGTAATGCTTTGTAGTGTGTTTGCTTTCGAGCGCAGGCTTCTATTACACAGAGACTGCAGGCCCTGGGTATGATTCCCCACCACACCAGAAATCCTCCGGCTGAGGGATTTCTAAGAGCCACACCTCCTCTTCCTTCCCCTTCTCTCCCTGCTGTTCCTGGTGACCTTTTGCATCGGTTTCATCTTCCAGTGCACTTTGCAGGACTTTGTAATAGTGACAGTCTCGCCCATCATCTGAATTGTACGGAGGAGCCAGGATGTCCAGGAAGGCAGCGGGCCCATCGACTGCGTAGATCTGGTGAAGGTTATCCCGCACAGGAGTGAGGAGACATGGCCCGCTGTTCTCTGAGTACTCAACCACTGAGCGGAGCACGGCACGCCACACGGAGGTCATCTGCAGTGGGGGTACCGGGGGGTCAAATACGGGTGGGACTGTGGTTACAGCCAGGTTTTGCTCCAGCTTGTCAAAGCAGCGGACGTTCACCTTTCCATAGAGAACCTGGACCACAGGACAGGAAAAAGATAGCAAGAATGGAAACTAGTTACTTGCTGACAAAGAGATATGCAAATAGCTTTAGGCAGAAGTTAAGAACATTCAGCTCCTGGATAGCCTTCCTAAAGCCCCGACCTTAACAATGTGGGGACTATACTTAAAAGCCAGGTCCATGCTGGGAATCCAACCAGTTTAAAAGAACTATTCATGTAACTATTATAACTGTTTAGTCACATGTGTGAACAGAAGCTCATATTCTACAGGTGCGACAGCTAATTGTAATCAATTACATGTATTAGGTCATTTTTACATCTACTCAGTTATTTTGATTACTTTGGCTGGAATGGATCCGTGTGCAGCCGTGTTTTTGTCCTTACTGCTTCTATGGGTACAGGGTACAAGGTCAGTAGCAGCCAGGTGCTCCTGCGTGTGCACACCTCTATACATGCAGACAGTTTGGCAGTATATTAGTCTGGAGCATTCAGATGTGCATTAATAACACAATCTTCCTGGGAGTGGATGTCCCACTAAATTTACTCCAAGATCAGACGATGCAATCCTCAGAGAAAGTGCAAAAGTCCCAAGAGAAACATCTCAGCTTCTACAGGCCTGCGTTAATATGCTAAATGCTAGTTCATGACAGTACAATTAGAAATAGACTGAACAAGTATTGACTAATTCTAAGAGTTGCCAGGAGAAAGCCCCATCTCGCTATTATGAAAATGTCAGCACATCTGAACACACCACACGATGTCTGGAACAACATCCTTTGGACAGATAAGACCAAAATGGAGATGTTTAGCTATAAGATACACCACCACACTGGAGAAAACCAAAGACACCACATCAGCACCTCATACCACCTGTGGTGGAGGGGTGATCGTTGGTGTGGCAGGCACAGGAGCTGAACAACCTGCAATTGGCTTTTTTGGTTTAAAAGCGTTTATAACAAACAAATTAGTGCACTCTGACACTTCTAGTAGAAGACAACCACAAACCCAAACTAAAAACAATCTTCATACTGACTATTTAACAAGCAACAGCTACTTTTGGCTGCTCCCTTATTCACAAATATTTGATTTGGTAGATTTGTACAGCAGATGCTGATTTTTGTCTCCTACCAAATACCTCAAAATGTTAAAGTAATACATTATGATTTTTCTCCTTCCACACGATGTATGTCTGCATACAGTAGATACACAGTCTGTGTAAAATATCATTTATTACAGTGTCTGTATGACACAATTTTGGTCAAGCTTTAGCTATCAGACAGATAGCTCTAGCTGTGCTTTGGTTGCACCGAGGTCCTCTGGCTGCAACATCAGATGTGTTGTGTTTTGTTTTCACTGAACGTAGCACTGTGCATTCTAGCAGACATCACTACTTTAACTAGTCTGTCCAAAGGACATTGTGGTTTATTCACACACGACTTATCTGTAGTGCCATGTTCTCCGGCAATCATACAAAAAAGCCATACTTTTCCCCAATTGTACTGACATGAACTGTAGCATATAACTTATTAACTGAGGCCTGCACAATCTGAGATGGAGCTCTTGGGTTTTTCACACCTGAGCTTTGCATGGTCTGACTACGAGGTGAACTTGTGTGTTAGTGCACACCTGAACGCTCCAGACCAGCAGAAGAGCAAAACGTCTGCTTGTATATAGGTGATCACACTCACCAAATCTGAAGTCTGACCTGGAAGAGCTTTGGCTCCAGCACCAGATGTATTTCTGTCTGTCAGTAAAATACTTCCATTTCTATGTTCCTTGTTACAAATGCTGTGACCACAGCCACCAATAACACTTCTTTACAATAGGCCCACAACTGACTGTATCAGAAAGGCACCAAACGGTGTAACGCAGCATCCGTGTTGGAAAAAGGACATAAATGACTCCACCCATCAAGTATTTAAAGGTGTGGGCTAACCGTGGTTATTTAGCCTGCTGACCCTACGTGAGTTCGAGTGGAAAGTTAAAGGTATGTTACGCACACGTCCAGCTAGTTAAGGCTTCAACTAGTTAGCTTTAATGGCGTTAGCTGAACACAGAGGTGTAAAAACCTTGAGCATCCCGTTCATCCCCGGGTGATCGTGAAGCGGTATGGACGCGCCGCTCCTCAGCAGGAACACACCCATACTGAACACCTCCGTCTCGCAAATGTGCATGTAGGTGACCGGGGGGCTCTGGAGCTCCGCTGCCCCGGAGCTCGAGTTGGTTTTCCGAGGAGCAATTTTCACGTCGGAAGCCCTGACGGCAGTTACTAAGGAGATTAGCCCATTAAGTTTGTCCTCGACGACTTTAACGTCGCCGTTGGCAGACGACTGCAAGCCTCTGAACGTCGTATAGGCTTGTTTCGCTATTTTCTGGATGAGAGCAGTTTTGTTGTCTCGCGGCATGCTGTCCCCAAAATTACAAAAGCAAAGAACTTCTCGGCGTCTCTCTGCCAGGATTTCCACCACCTTTGTTGAAGTGCCACATAAATCCTACAGTGTGACCAGATGTACTGTAGGCTCGGCCAGTTCAAAAAGTGCGACTTTTATCAAACAAACGCAATTCATAGTGAAAATGTCTGATTTGAAGCCCAGATCAGAGCCTCCCTCCACTCATTCTCCGCGGTGTCGCCTCCTCATCCTCGCTCAAAGAGCCTGCGCATGAAGCAACAAGCAGCGTGGGATGTGAAGTTTAACCTGGACACTTTATCGTGGTCTTCTTCGCGTTAACGCGAGCAATGAACCACTGCGCCATCGGATCCTGTTTAACACACACCTTTGTGCAACTGTGGAAGACTGGCGGGTGTACAAATGAGCCCGAAACAATAAAGAACAGCTCCGTCTGTCAGTGACACTACATTTCCCAGAGGTCCCGAGGACGCAGCCGAGTTTGTCGAGGGGAAGGCCAGACAGGCCACTGAACTCTCTGTGGCCCTCCCCCGCATCACATCCTCCATCTCCGTTTCTTTCCTTCTGCTGAGGCTTTCTTTTCTCTCTAACACCCATCCACGCCCACACACACCACGACCATAAGGATTTTACACAACAGATGTGTGAAGCTTTGCCATTTTTTGACATAAAGCACTAACAGTGAAATGCACCTGTAGACGCTTCAAGCAGATAGGATGAGGGTTTCTGCATTTCTGACCCAATGTTTTGAGCTGTTTGTGAGTGTGTGTGATTCATTATTATATCCTCTGTTTGTTGTCTGTTTATATTTTGGATCTTCTTATTGGTTTTATGATATTCAGTTTTGGTCCTCTTTGTCGTCCCCCTCTATCTCCAATGTCAAGTCCCCTTCGAGTTCATGGTCTGTCTCCAGGGTCCTAATCCTGCCATTCACAGTCCTAATGACAGAGGCCTCAGTTCCTCATGTGGTCCCTTGGGAAAGTTAATTGGCCACCCCTGCTTCAGAGTGACAGGTCATTGCACGTCAGTACAACGAGAACTATGAATGAATGGTTTGATCAGGATAAAGTCATGCAACTCATATTTTCAGTTCTTACAGAGGGACAGTGCTCTGCACCACCAATCAAAACACCAAGTGAGAGAATATTTTGAAAGAATGCTGTTTATTGTTAAAATATTCCAGGATCCATGTGGTGAGGTGATGCTCCACACTTGTGTAATACAGCCTTTTTCTACTTATTTATTTATTTTGTTTTAGTTTTTTGTTTGGTTTTTTATGGGGGGAGGGGGGTGTCATATTCAGTGTAAATGAACTTATTATATTTTGCACACTAAGCACACTAGTCAAGACAGGGTAATGTGTGTAAAATAGGCTGGATAAAGTCAATGTAACTTTGAATGGTATATGATATTTTATATAAAAGGGCAGAAAAGAAAGGCATAAACTGAAAGCGACAGGATGTCAGTTCTAATACAAATACAAAAACATAATGATATGAAAATGCAAAAAAAAGTATTTTGCTCATCTATCCACACACACACACACACACACACACACACACACACACACACACAC